AGGGGGGAGGCATGGCGTCCCCCGGCTCAGCACAGCACCAGCCACGAAGCGATCCTGCCTCTCCAGAAACTCCATCTTGTATGTACAGGAACAGAACTGCAAAGGTCTCCCTGTTGCAAACTATAAATAGTCTCTTTATTGTAAGCATTTGCAGGGAGGCAGCCACCCTAATATCTGGCCTTCTTCACGAGGCTTACTCGAGATTACTGTCAGAGCTTAAGAGACAAACACAAATGCCAAGGTCCTTGCTGCCCACAGTCTCTCACCTGTCCAGTGAGGAGGAGGAAGCCCTGGGAGCGACCTGTGATGTTTTCGGAAAGTGGCTCAGGCATAGCATCTGCAGGGCTCGGCTGCAGAGGACGCCCAGCCTTGGAACCCAAACCTCAACCAGGGGAAGCATCACGCTCTCCATGCACTCACGCATGGTGGAAAAGCTGTGACATGAAGGATGCGTCGCATGCACATGCTACATAAAGTGCTTTATAAATGTGTACAATTCTCTCGAGGTGCAACAACATTCGCCTATTATTAGAAATACTCTGGGTATCAAACCAGAAACTGATAAGCTATAAATGACTCAAGTCAAACAAGGCCATTGCACGTTCACCAGTCCAGGATCCAGCCACCCACAGAAAGAGCAGGTTCCTGCTGTGGGACCCTGCCAGGCAGCCCTGTCCCCACATCCCCAGTGTCACTCCCTGCTTTCCAGCCAGAGTTTTCTGCTTTCCAGCACCAACACCCTTAGCCAAAACACCAATGGGACAAACTTTCTGGCAGCGCACAGCTCCTGCAGCACAGCCCACCCCAAGGGAACGCAAAGCTGACCATGCAGGCAGCGTCGGGGTGAACCCTTCAAGGCAGCGGAGAACGGCGAAAGCTGGCAGTGGGAAATGCCGAGAGACCATCTGCTGCCTGCTGCCTTGAGGTAGCCCCGGCAATCTGTCCATGCCATGGTTCCCCACAGCTCCTCACACCTTTGTGCATCTTCCCTAAAGCAAGAGAAAGGCCCTGACCTTGAGCATGGCTGTGGCATCCCCATCACTGCGTCTCTCGCATCCTCCGCTGTCCCTCAGCTGCATCCCTCGCTGCCCGCTGGGACACCAAGGGCCACCAGCAAGCTCCCTCCTCAGGACAGCCCTTGGAGACCAAAGCCTAAGTGCTGAGACCTCCTTGTGCTGCCCAGCAGTGCCAGCAGTGATTCCTGGCACTGCCCCGCTCATGCCAGGGACAATCGCAGGGACAGGAGGCCCTGGCACCAATGCCCAGAGCACTGACTGCCCAGCAACAGCCCTGGAGCAGCCCCATTGCAGTCTGCTGGAGGGGAGGGATGGCAGCACAGCACACATCCCAGTGTCAAAACAGAGGACACCAGAGCAGGATCAAAATGTAAGCTCTGAATCTCCCCTGGATGCCAATAACCTGGTCGAAGGCTGAGCCTCGAAGCAGGCTCCACTGTCCAGCCAAACAAGGAAGCGTTTCTCAACAGCAGCAACAGCTACGACTCGGAGCAATACGGTAAATCTAATCTACCCTTCCACCCTCTTTTGGCTTGCAAGTCAGGCAGCTCATTCTTTTTCCTCTCTGAGTTCTCAGGAGAATTCTCTCTGCTAATTTCTTCTTTCCTGTAAACAAACTTCAAATGAAACTTTCATTAGAAAACAGAACGCAATCCATTACCAGCGCCTGTCTCAGGACCGTCCGCCTTTTCCCCACTTCCACGCCACTCGTGGCACAGATGGAAGTGACAGTGGCTGCCCCAAGCAGCCAGCCCAGAGCCAAACCCCGAACCCTGGCACCGCCGCTGCCGCCCTCCTCCTTCCTGCCTTTCCCAGCTCTCCGGAGAGATCTCCTCACCCCGCAGTAAAGTCCCATTGCTTTGTTTCCAACGTTCAAGAGATTGAGCGATCAAGGGTCAGGCAACGTGCGTGCAGCTCCTCTTCTACAAGGGGAAGTCGGATCCTGCTGGTGCATTCACAGGCCACACCCAAACATCGGAGCAGGGCTCCCGGCACCGCGCAGGGTTTGGAAAACAACATCCTTGCTCCTCTCCTTATCTACAGTCCAACATTCACAGCTGCTCCGCAGACACTCGCAGCCAATATTTTCTAACCGGCAAAGGCAGACGCTCACATGTGCAGGACTCGCACTTGGCATTTCTGTCCCACTTTCCATACACCAATCTCGGAGCACCGCGCGTGCACGCGTCTGCCGAGCCTCTCAACTTTCCTCTGAGTTAGAAAAGTATTCTTCCTATTATAGAGCTGGAAACCCTGGGTACTGACAGCTGCCCTGACTGGTCCAAGAACACAGCGAGTCGCTGGCAGATCCAGGAACACAATCAGGACCTCCGGACTGCAAGGCTTTAACTGCTAGACAGGGTTTCTTCACCGGCGGCTCTCCTTCCTGGAGAACAACCTCCCATAGCGTGGGCTGGAGCAGGGCAGGGAGGGAAGCTACTCTTATAACCGTACCTCGTAACTATATGCAAGGCTATCGGTAACCTGCTTATTTTACAGCCAGGCTCAGTTTCTCAGGGACTGCCTTGCAAGTCTCTCTCTAGTCATTTACACGCTGTGCCTCGCGCTTAATATTCCAGGCTCTGAGTCTCAGGACGGTTTATTTTTTCTCTTTGAGTCCTTTTATTTTAAAACGTGTCCTTTAACGCCACAGTCTACTATTCCGATGGGATTTCCTTCCGCGGAGCAGGAACCGAGGCTGTGCGCCGTGCAAACCTCCCCAGCACGCAGCCACGCTCAGCTTCCCACCAGAAGCAGCCGTGTTTTTAGAGTCAACAAAAGACAACGCGTGATCGCCAGCCCCCAGAGCTGCTCCACCGCTGTGCCAGCCGCGACCTGCCCGGCACAGGCAGCCCCCAGACCTGCCAAACCTGGCCGGAGCACAGCACCTCCCGCTGTGACCCGTGGCAGCAGCACGGCGCTTGGGGACGAGCTCTCAGGAAGGCAGCCTCATCTCCGTCTCAGCAACTGTTTAAACCCGGCCCTCTGAGCATGCCAAGAAGGTATTGAACCAGATTTGACCCTAACTTAACCAGTTCAGCACAGAGAAAGGCTTACTAATGGAAGATAAAACACTCCAGGTCAAAGACTGATACTGCAGCCACAAATATTGTGGTGGTCATTGCTTCAATGAGCCCAAGAAGCCTTAAAGCACAAGGGTGTACGCTGGCTGTGGTGGCAGCGAGCTGTGACTGCGCTGCCTACTCGTGTGTGCAATTCACACACCA